ACAATTTCATCATTTTATTCATAAATATTTTCAATTTTATGTTTAATTTTAATTTTATGTTTAATTTGTATTTATATTAATTAAAATTTAAATATTTAAATTATAATTTTAAATAAAATAAATTTAATATAAATAATATATTTTAAATAAAGTGGTGAGACCCAATATGGATTCTTTGGAGTTGCACCATTGAAGTGAAAATTGGATTCTATGGCAGACTTGTTGTTGATTTGCAAAACAAGAGGTTTCTTCATTTCAACCTTCATTTCTTTAAGTCCCGATCTGATCCAAATTGTTTGACATGCAACATAGGATCCTACTATATATTCAGCTTCACATGATGATAATGCCACCACAGGTTGCTTTCTCGAGCACCATGAAATTGGGCACCAAATACTTGAAAGAAATATCCAGTAGCGCTTTTTCGATCTTCCATATCTCCACACCAGTCAGCATCTGAATAACAAGTAACCATAACTTTTTTGCTTTCAGAGTCTCGTCAAAATAAAATTCCATAGTCAATCCTTTTAAGTATATCAGGATTCTTCTTGCTGCCTTCATGTTGAGCACCTGTTCAGAATATAAACAGCAGTCGAAACAACTTCTTCCCATAAGGATTTTGGCATATTCTTCTGCTTTAACATGCATCTTGCCATGTCCAATATGATCATGTTTCTTCTTTCTACTATGTTGAGGAGTATAAGGAACAATTATCTCATGATCAGTACCATGTTTTGCACAGAATGCTTCAAATATCTTGGATGTGTTTTTGCCACCTCCATCTGTTCGAAGAACTTTAATTTTCTTTTCACCCTAGTTTTCGACAAGTATCTTGAATCTCTTAAAAATTTAAAATACTTCATCTTTTTGTTTGGCCACATAGATCCAGAGCTTTCCACTGTACTTATCAACAAATGAGACGAAATACTTATTTCCACCAATGGTGTGCTCTTCGAAAGGACCACATACATCTGAATGTACAACTTCGAGTATGTAGGATGATCTCATTTGCATAATCGAAATAAAAGACTTCCTGGACTGCTTTCCGACTAGATAACCTTTGCAGAGTTTGTCGGGCATCTCAAGACTTGGTATACCAGTAACCATATCTTGAGTGATCAGTTGATTTAGCGACCTAAAGTTTAGATGGTCAAACCTCAGATGCCACAACCAACTATTCTTGTGGTCGACAACTGTTTTTAGACATTGTACCTCAGTCAAACTGGTCATGGTCTTAAATGTTCTATTCTTCGACAAAGGAGATTTCAAGACCAAATTATTTTGGATGTCAAAAATTTCTAAGGCTCCATATTTCATAACCACTGAAAACCCATTTTCGACCAGTTGTCCAACACTTAGCAGATTGCACTTCATTCCAGGGACATAGAGTACATCTTTGATCAATGCTTTTGCTTCATTACTCATTTGAATAACTATGTTGCCAATACCTTCTGCTGGCAACGAGCTATTATCAACAAGTTTCACCTTACTCTTCTTCGACTCGTCAAAATCTACTAACCATGTTTTTTTTACCAGTCATGTGATTCGAACATCCTAAGTTCAGGAACCAAATCTTGGATTTGACATGGTCATCTGTAACTGCAGCCATAACCACCATATAATCAGAATCATCTGAATCCGGGTGTGCAAGATTCACTCCTTCGTCCTTACCTTTTGTCAAACCCTTGTCTTTCCTGTACCAACGATGCTTGGCCAAGTGACCGTACTTTTCACAGTTATAATGTTGCACACCTCTTTTCTTCACTTTGTCTTTCTAATATGAACTTCCTTATTCTCTTTTTGAGGATTCAGAAGTTCTATCGTCGATCTTATTCTTATGAGGTTTCGCCCAAGAATTCTTTCCCTGAGTCTTGTCGATTTTACCTTTGAACTTGTTGGAACCACCATTCTTCTTCCACAATTGCGTCTATAGTGCTTGTATCAAGTCTTGAACTCCTTTTCTTTCGACAATCCTAATCTCATGCGCTTCCAACGAACCAACCAAATCTTCCAGTTTTAGGGTTTCAAGATTGTTGGATTCTTGAATAGTTACGATAATATGATCAAAGTGAGAGGTCAAAGTATGCATTACCTTCTCAACTACCATCTTATCAATTAGGGTTTCACCACAACCCTTCATAAGATGAATGCGTTTCTGCACCTTCGACACATAGCCTGCAATCTTTTCATCTTCTCCCATTTACAATAATTCATATTATCGTCGCAACGTTTTCAACTTAACGACCTTAACTTTCTCGCCTCCTTCATAGTACTTGACAAGAATATCCCACGCCTCCTTCGCTGATTCATCATTAGCGATTATGTCAAAGTTATCTGCGTCTACCGCCAATTGGATGTAGAATGCCCCCTTGCAATCCTTCTTCTTGGCATCTTGTGAGCGTTTCTCTGTGCTTAGGTTGCATCTTCACCAAGCGTAGAAACACCATTAGTAACCACTTCTAGGGTTTCATGAAAGGAAAATAGAGATTGCATTTGTTTTCTCCATCGAAGCCAATTTTTGTTGTCAAGAGTTGGAAGGGAATTTGGTAAATTTTTGTTACCATTCATCTTTGCAGCAATTGATCAACAGTAACCCACGATCCCAGAAACACGATCTCTGACGTGTGGTTCTTGAAAACACGATCAAGAATCTAACAATCGGGGGGAGGGGGTCAAGCGAGAAGCATTCTAAACGGCGAGACACCCTTCTTAGAGCAACACACCTTTATGAGAGACACGCCATATATCACCCAAAACCCTAAGGTGATAGGTAGGTGATTTCTCCCACTTATAAATGCTCAAGTCACCACATTCCTATCCAATGTGGGACTATTATCCACACTATTCATACTTGTAATTCTTTTTTCAACACTCCCCTTTAAGTGTGAGTCTACCACACTGCCCCCTCCCTCAAGTGGAAGCTCTTTCTTCCATATACATACTTGTACTGCCGTTGACACTCTTCAACGGGACATTTAACCACATCCTGGACACCTACCCATGTGGGATACTTTCAATACAATTAAGTCGGTCCCTTTCTCGATGAGGAAAATATTATTGAATAAATTGTTACAAATAATGATATATAATATGATGACTATTTATATACAATCCTAATTGAGTTTGGGATTATATTTAAATATTAAATCAAATCAAATCAAATCAAATATTTCAACACGCACCATGTTCTTAGACGTGTCGTGATATTTCCAGAGGTTTGCAAGGAATTTTCGTTGTTATATCACATATTAGATATTTTTATTTATCATTTTATTGTAATTTTAATTGGATCGCTTTGTCGTAATCTCAGTTTTACCATTTACAATAATTGATATACCTTACAACTCTCAATGATTCTCATTTAGGTTGAAACTATGCAATGTTTTTTAAATTGAGGAAAATGATCTAAAGTTAACTATATATGACTTGAATCACAAGTTATAAGCTTTAAAGCGATATGTTTTTTGAGCTTGATTCGAACCATAACTCGTCTGATTTGAATCAAAAGTAAAAATAAAATTTGTAATTTGGCACTGTAAATTTGTGTGAGATTCATTTGAAAACCATCAATTTCAACCATTAGCCAAAAATCTATTGTTGTGGTTACTCAAATCTAAGATTGAGCGTGAGTGCTAGTTGCAAGGTACATTAGAGATTCTAATGTTTCTTTGAACCTCGCATATTCTCATATTAAAGAAACATGTTGTGATTATGGGCTTTAGAGACTGACTTCCAGCAAAGAAAAATAACAATTTATTCTCTAAGGAAGTTTCGGTAGGGTTGAGTAAAGACCAGTGCATACAAAATTCTGGAGTTTCTAACTCCTTCAGCAGTTCAAAGACTCGAACAAGGGAATTTCGATAGGATCGAATGAAGATCACTGCTGACGGAATCTTAGAGCAATTTGGTTATGAAAAGGTGATGTTTGGCTTAATATCGAGGGAGGATCTTGAAGAATTGGAAGTTTTATGTGTTGTGTTAGAAAATCAAAATTTAAATGTGTTGCTGAAACATTTGACTTTAAGTTTTCGCTATTGTCTTTGATTATGTCTTGTATAAAAACACTATGAACAATTTGTGAAATAGTGTAATATCAACAAATTTTTAATAGTTTTCCATTGGATAGTGAATTTGGTGCAAGCGAGGACAACACACTAAACCAATATAAATACTTGTGTACAATTTTCTCTATCACCCTCTTTTAAATTTCTGTATAATTTGCATGTTCATATGATATTTATCGTTCTAAACATTATATGATTTTAGGATTTTAATGTTTTCTAAAATTATATGTTGTTAAGTTTATTATTTATCTTTTAATGTTTAAATTTAGGTTCGTGTTAGATCTTGTATATTAAATATTGTTTTGGTGATTATATCTGTACAAACTTATAATATTAATTTTTTTATTCTATTAATAAAATTTCATTTGAACATCTCATTGTAAATTGAATTTTAACTAATTGACATATTATATGTTAATAATTTCATCATTTTAATTTTCATTGTATTTTCTATTCATTAAGTAAATTGTGCAAATTGTCCATCACACATCTTTTCTATAACTTCCGCTCCACGTGCATTTTGAAAACTTTGATTTTAAAAAAGAAAAAATTAAGAGAATTTTAACAGGGGAGTACTATTCCCAATACAACTCACCTACATCAACCATACTTTAAACCCCATTTTCAATACATGTAAATCACTCAAACAACAAATAATTGAACCTTCAATTTCCTCCCACAAAAACCATATCAAGAGAACAGACATCATCCCCCACGACAATAATTAAGTCTTATCGAAATAATAAAATTAGCTACATGGATCAACTTTTGTTATTGTTGTAATATTTTATTAAAGATCATATTTTTATCCAAATCATTAATTTCAGGTCTTTTTACAAAATTATAAAATAGCATCATAAATATATTGGACTAGATTCAAATGGTTTAATATTTCATAAAACATACAAATTACACAATATGAATTTCTAGTACTAGCTACCAACAAATGGAAGGCAACTTAAAAGTGAAAGAGAATGAAGAAGGCACATGTCCTGTCCTTCTTATATACTCTACTTTCTCAGTAGTCTTCAAAGCATTGTCATTCAGTTTCACTTGTGCATTAGCTCTCTTTTCTTCTGCTATTCTCCTTGTTGCAGCCATTTTATTTGTTAACTTTTCTTGTGCCACAGCTTTCATTCTTTCAGCTCTCACCTAGTAATAGTTCATTGGATTCATTAGTGCATTGGGAAATGTCCATGCTATGCCTTTTATCTTTTTCAGGAATAATTCTCTTTGTCAGTACATTTCACAGAACTTTAAAAGATGAGCCATAATCCAATTCCTTAGAAAAAGGTTTATATCATTGGTAATAATTGAAGACAAAAATTGCACTACAATGCTAACACAAATACTACCACATACATCATCATATACAAGATGTGGAGAATGTGAATTTCTTAATAATGCTCATGTTATTGAAAAAAATTTATCTTTTAATTCATCCAATAGATGATATATTTAGTCTATATATTATTCAGATACATTAGTTATTTAAAGATACATTAATATATATGTAAAATATAATTTTTTTTCTTATAAATAGCATCAGAAGTAATAAGAAAGAGTATGTTACTAAAAGAATCACAATGCTACCTCCATTTTCTTCATTTCCATTTCAGCTTTTCTTATCTGATGATTCTCCCATGCTTGAATCTTCATCTCTTCGCGCTTAAACCTTTTCAATAGAGTTTTTACGATGGTTTTTATGTCAATAGATAAGTTCAAATAAGTCAATATAAACGGACTAAGTATAACATGACAGACTACCTAGCCGTATATTTGGCACGTTCGGCTTCATCCCAAGCCATTGCTCTACATTCTAGAGGCCCCATTTTTCTAGCTTGATCATCAATCTTCATATTCTTTTCAACCACATTACAAGGACTTGATCCTTCTCCACATTGTCTAGTTGCTGTGCTACCATTACCTGATGCAGGTTCCATTTGCAAGAATCCATTTTGGTTCCTCATTGGAGTGGAAGTACCTGAATGAATTGGACTTCTAGTAGTAGGAGTTGTTGCTCTAATAGGTGTTGTGGTTCTTGAAGGCTCTTGACTAGCAATAGGTGTCATCTCAGTCCCCATGTCTCTAAAACATATTGATTGAACATGGATTGTGTCCTTGTTATTCATTCTCCAAATCGATTCCTCGCACTCTACTTTCTTGGTTTCTTCTTCAACATATTCAGTACTAGTCGTTGTCATGAACTCGCGGCATCCATCCTCGTCGTCCTCTTTTTGCGGCACAGGAGCTATTAGTCTCAAATCATCTGCATTTGAGTTTCTTGGCTTGCTTTTCGATTGGCTTTTCTCTCCGCCTTTTGATAAACCAACTAGCCATTTTTGCGCGTCGTCCCATTTAGACGGAGTCGGTTTTCCCATGTTTATTCGATGATGATTCGAAACACGAGCGCCAGCAGCAGCAGTGGTAGCAGTAGTACTAGCACTAGTAGTAGTAACATCTTTTCCTTTGTGAGTATCTTGTGCTACTGATCCATGGTTACTACTATAGCATCCCTTATCTTCCACAAATCTCATTCTCAAAAGTTTTGCTCAAAACTTAGACAAAGAGAGAAACAACAATAAAAAATCTCAGTCTAAATTTCTATCTATTGAGAGAATCACTATACTCTAATGAAATCTATGTTAATAAATTTGGAGAAAAAAAGCCTTATCTAGATTATGAAGAAGCAAAAGTAACAATAGATTCATATATATCAAAGGAGGAAGGAACAATCAAGTAAGAAGCAACATAGAGAATGATGTATGTACCTTATTATTAGTTGAAAACCATGAAATTGTGAGAGTTGCAGAGAAAGGAGTGAACTTGAGATCCATTGAAGATTATAATATAATGATACTAATTTAACAAAATATCCTATGCATAGTTCAGAAAAGGGGAGGGGCCATTTACTCAGGTTCGTTTTTGAGAGTGTGTAAACCAGACTACTGCATCGGTCTAAAATTTGTATAATTAAACACTGACAAACTGCATCGGTCTAAAATTTGTATAATTAAACACTGACAAAATAGAATCTCATAAAATATAGTCAGGATTAAATCGTGATTAAATAAGATAAGATATCTATTTATTTTGTCATAGTTAAACTGCGACTAATCTATAAAAAACTTCAAAATAAAATAAAATAAATATATAAAATACCAATTTACCTTGGAAATTGAAAATTATGAATAGTATAATGCAGGTGCCATGTGCATGTATCTAGAAAACAAAGGAATCATCATGGTAAAATTGAATTGGTTTATTGATACATGTGTCAGAGACAAGAACACTAGTGCTATGCTATTATCTACTGTTTTCAAAGGGAGTTAAAAATGATGGTTGTACTAGTACTTTTAACGGTTATAATAGATCTAGTGTAGATAAAAGAATACTATTATGCATGAGGTGTGATGAGTGGACACGTGGACGGTGGAAGATTAAGAAGAGCATAGAAGATCTGTGATACTTCTGAAATGAGGGTATGATAATAGAGGTTTTCTGACCTTTTCACATGGCAATAAGATGCTTCATTCCAAACTTGTGACAGTTTCATAAATTTTATTGTTTTCTTTGGGGCCCAAATTGTCCAAATATGAAACCAATGGACATTTATGATTTTTTCTAGTACATCAAAATTATGCTATTTTTCTCAACTCTAACATCAGATCTAAACTATGTATCTTAAAAAAATAATCAAGTTTTACATTACCTTTTAAATGATAACACATTCAAAAACTATTATTGACGGTGTAAAACTTTTTATTTAGCGATGCTGATAAAATGTGAGAGTGATGAATATTAAATGACATTGTACAATGTGACTTTGAGAGAAAGGATGGTATGGGGCCATAGTCTTGTTGATATCTTCCATACTGTGCCAAGTGAAAATGGTACAAAAGGCATACAGACAAATAAATGTTTTGGTTCAAGAAGAAAAAAAACAAGTTGTTTTTGTTTGGTTGTTTAATTTGTTTGATTTGGTTATCTCCCAACTACCATCCAGAAAAAACACTCACTATAAAATTAGGGAAAACCTACGAAAATAAATATACATTACCAATAAAAGTACTTATAACAACAAAAATTACTATTAAAAACATGATATATCGGAACTTCATCATAGTACATCAAGTATCACACGTAATCATCAAACACAAATCACATTCCTTGAATATAAAAATAAGTATTAGAGAATAATAACCATGAATAAGTAGACTTGAGGCATGTCAAGTTACATGGTTTTCAAGAATTTATTCACACAAGTATTAGAGAGTAACCATGAATAAATAGACTTGAGGGATGTGAAGATACACGGTTTTCAAGAATTTATTCATTAAGATGAAATTTTTTTAAAATTAAGTGTTGACTTTTCTTTAGCAAATATAAAAATAATAAAATAAAGACAGCGATTCATTAATTTCTTAGACAAATTTAAAGTAAAATCGGATAATTTATGTGCATTAATTCTCTAACCACAATTTATAATTATCTATTTCTAATTAATTATTAAGTTGAATAATTTCTCTATTTCTGATCGATAAACTTACCATCAATAATCCAACTCATTTTATTTCATTATGTATGCTCATCAAAATCCAAATAGCATTAAGAATAAAAGCAATTGAATAGAAATTATAAAATCAAAATATTTAAATAACATCAAACAATTATATGATCCAACACAGTAAAATCAAGTTCAACGTCTAAGACCTAATCAAGAGAAATCTAACTACTCATAAATTATTACTATGAGTTTAGACGAAGAGTGGATGAAAATTAAAGAAGAATAATGTCTTTAATGACTCCAAAACTCTAAAAATCTTTGTTGTAGAACTCTTGGTCGTCACTTTCTCTTCTCCAATTCGGAACTCCCTCAAAAGTCTCATTTTTCTCCTTTTAAACATCTACAAACGTGTCCATAAAAATATCTATCGTGCACACGATGCTTTATATCGTGCACATGACACCTTTTTCTTTCCTCATCGTGTACACCATGCCACACGATTTCCACACAATTTTTCCAATGGCTTTCTTGCTTTTTGCTTGCAAATTTTGTAATTTTTCATCTATGTTCCTCTATACTTTACTTGATCAAATATTTGTTATATCTTCTTCAATTTCCTCTTAATTAACTAAAAAAACACATCAAAATGATAACAACTGTTTATAAAAATTACGTAATGTCAGAGTGTCATCACAACCCCAAACTTGTTATACTACTTGAACTCAAGAAACTCATTCATACTTGTGAATCTTCTCAAATATTTATACATATCAAGCCAATGAAAAACACAAATTTTAACAGAGTTATGACTTCCATTTCTCACCTTAATTGTGATCAATCCAAAAAGTTTCTCAAACTTTCATGTGTACTCAACCTGTCTCTCATTCCACCTTTTCACTCGAATTGACAGGGTAATCATACAATCAGCGTATAAAAATATTTTACCGTAAGTTTGCAAAATTTCTATCAAAGTCATATTTAAACACACACTTTCAATGTCTTTTCATGGTTGTAATGAGGCTTATGTCAGGGTAGGATATTTTGGGATAGTAGACTTAAATCTTTAGAGTTAGGTATCTAGTTTTCCTTATGTTAGCATGTTCCTTTCATCACAAACTTTACCTGGTCAATCGGTACTAGAGAATACAATTCATTGGTTGTTTTCATGCATTTTTCACAATTTTATTTTTTAAATAAGTCATTTTAGCTTCTTATTTTCTTTATTTCTCTTTTCTTTTTCTTTCTTTTTAACTATTATTTTCTCTAGTACTCCAACCTCAAACTTAAACGTTATTAACTTTCAAGAGCAATCCCAAACTTATTATTTTATATCAGACAAAGAAAATAAACTTTCTACCTAACTCCAAAGAGGGTGGAAAGATTTAACCCTTCAAGTCAAATGGCTATATAACAGGCTATGTCATAGAAAGAAAGGGCTCAGACTCAAAGTGGTTAAACAATGGATATAAATATCACACATGTTGGCTTGAAAAAGCTAAGAGTTTCCACAAACAAGTGTCTTAGTGTGTAATTTATTAGACAATAGACTAAATCAGAAATAGAGCAAGTTCTAAAAAATAAAAATTATACAAACACTCTCATAAGAAGGAAAAGTAAATAATGAAATTTTTGGCTCAAACCTTACTAACTGAGGTAACTAGAAATTGAGCACAGGTCAGTTGGATATTTTCTTCTTCTTAATCTTTCAATAAGTTTATGAAACTTTGGTCCATACTTTGCTTTCTTTCCTTTTTGCTTTTTATTTTTGTGTGTCTTTTTTTTTCTTGTCATAAGTAAGGCAATGAAATAACTGAAGAAAACACATAACAAATTCATTGATTGATTAAAGAACTGATAAATTATTAAAAAGGAAACACATAAAACAAACTACTTAGTTTCTTGAATGGAAAGGTACAATAAGCGATAAATAAAAATTATAAAATGTTGTGAGACATCTTAATCCATGTCATCAGGATGAGGTGGTCGGTAAAGACGCATAATTGCCACCATCTCATGCAATTCTCGATCCTGTGTAGACTAAGCGGATCTCATCTCGTTTTGCCAGTTAACAAGTTATTGATTCTACTATTCAAAATATTGTCTCATGGATAACTGCATTGCAAATCTCTTTATCAGATTCTGAGAAAGCCTATGGTTGCGGTATTCTGCAATCCGCTCTTTATAAACCTTGACTGAACTGAGGTGGTTGAACATATAAGTTGGCTGAGATATCAGTGTCCCAACTTGACATGCTCAGTGTGTGATCCTCCAAAATTTGAATGTGTTGGTCAAAGTGTTGCTCGATACTTTTCTGTGGATCTTGTTGTTGTTTGCTTTGGCTCTCTAGTTGTTGTTCAGGTTGTTGCTCGATTCTTTCTTCACCCCTTTAACTTGGGCCTACAACTACTTTTTTCATTAATCTTGCATTTATTAGAGTTCTTGCAACTATCATTTTATCATTTAGGTGACTTGGTAGCCTGCTGTAACACCCCAAATTCTTGAAATATTTATTTAATTTTTTAAATATGAATATTCGCATTTTTGGTGATTTTCGGTGGATGGTGTGAATATTGGGAATTATGAATTTTGAGTTATTTATTTAAATAATAGTATATAATATGAATATATTGGTATTATTATTAATTTAAATAAATATAAGGGAATTAAGGGCAAAGTGGACATTTGAGGAGGAGTTAGTGAGGGTGAAGTTGGAAAACCCAATTTTAAGGATCAAAGTTAGGTTTAACAAAAAAGAATTTTAAGGGAATTAGGATTCATTCTTGTTAGACCGTGAAAAAGGAAGAAATAGAGGCCAGAGCTCTGAGGAAGAGGATTGAGGCAAAAGCTTCGCAAGGTTTCCAAGAATTAAGGAGAAAGGCTTAGAGTCGGCAATTAAGGTATGGGGAGTATTGCCTTCATTGTTTTCAATATGTGATTCAATGTATTTAAAGTTGATTTAAAGGTTTAGGGATTTTGAGTATTGAAGTATTCTTTCCTTTCTGGTGAGTTTAATGAGATTGAGGGATTTGA